TTGGAGTGGATACATGCTAATAAACTGAAGCTCAGTCCTGACAAAATGGAAGTGCCACTGGTGGACAGAAGGCCTGACCTGGCGCCCATTATGGCTGGGGTTGCACTCAACCTCGAAGAATCAAGTCCATAGCCTGGGGGTGCTTTTGGAGCCAGGCCTACTACTGCCAAGGGTGCCTTTTGCCAACTTCGACTGGTTAGCCAGCTGCAGCCTTCCCTGGACAGGCAAGATCCAACCACTGTGGTGCATGCCCTGGTTACACTGAGATTAGATTACTGCAGTGCACTCTATATGGGGTTGCCTTCGAAAAGTGTTTAGAAGCTTTGGTTGGTACAGAATGCTGCAGTCATGATGGTGGACTGAACTGGGTCATAGGGACTATATTACCCCAGTCGGTCCACTTAACACTGACTTCCAGTTCATTTCTGGGCACAATTCAAGGTGCTGGTCTTGACTGTCAAAGCCTTATATGGTTTGGGACCAACATATGTGAAGGACCACCTAATCCCTTATGAACCTGCAGGTAGCAACATGGGAGAGGGCCTTCTCAGTCATGGCACCAAAGCTCTGGAACTCTCTCCCCAGGGAGATTCTCCCCTCCTGTTGTTATCGCCTGCCAGCAGGTGAAGGATATTTTGCTTCATTTGGCATTCCCTGTTTTATATGTATTTTGGCTCTGTTTTTTAAAACTCTTTTAAAGTTGTTTTAAAGAAGTGTGTTTGGGAGGGTTTTTTAATAATGTATTTTATTATGTATGTTTTAGATTGTAAGCTGTCTTGGCAGCTCTTATAAGGGCAGAAAGGCAGGATATACATTTTATAAATAAATCATTTCTCTTATTTCTTTTCTAGATCTGCAACTCCCATAATGTTTCTTTTTAAAACCAATGGACTTTGCCCTTAACTGATCCAAGCCAATCATGGATTACGCTGGTAAAATCCATTTGTGTCAACACACAGTCAATCAGATTTAGGTACAAGAAACTGTTACAAACAGTACAAACTGTTACAAATCAGAGTGCTGAAGGAGTTAATAGGATTCCCAGTGATATGTAGCCATTCTGATTATCTGGCTTTATGATACCATCTGGCCATGAAGCCAAATCAGAGTGGGGGCAATTCTTTCAATCCTCTCTACATGGAACAATATTTTCACACTATTTCACAACAAATTGCTCAAACAAAAAAGGGTGGCATGAAGGGGCAAAGGTGGTTTGAGATACCTTTTCCTCCATTTTGGTTTAGCCATACGAATACCTATGCAATCACATGATAAATGACATATGTCTCTATCATTCTGTTATTTATTTTTTTTAAAAAAAACTAAAACATTTAAAAACTTCTTTAGGGACAGTTTTACTCGGTACCACTTTAATATGAGAATGCTCGTGTCATTTCTAAAAATATACAAAAAGTGGGGATCTGCAAGCAACTTGCAGGGAGATGGCATCTCAGTCCCCCTGCCTTTGCTTTCTCTCATCTTCCCCACCCTTTCTTGATCAATCATCCCCTCTTTCTCTCCCCCCCCAACCTCATTTGGCACTCACCCCCTTTTTTGTGCCCCTACTTCTCTGTTACCACCACCCCGCCTGTGTTGCCAGCTCCGCAGGGGAGGCAGTGACGACTCCCATGCCCCCCTGCTGCCTCTCACTTTGCCAGTTCAGCTGGCTGGCAGCAACAACAACTGCAGTCTCTCACCACCTTTAGCCTTGCCAACTTATCAAATGGGCAGCAATGACTCCCACACCACCCGACATCTCTAGCTTTACTTTCTTCCCCCCCAGCTCCCCTTCTCTAGTTTGGCTTATCATCTCCACCTAACTACATCCGATGCCCCAAAGTTTAGTTAACCTATTGGTTTCTGCCACCTGGAGGTTTTGGATTTGCTTCTTATCAGGGAGCAAAAATGACAACAAAAACTCTTCAGCTGAATGATGATAGCAAAATTCTTTCAAACCCAGATGGAAGCAGCTTTACCTGCTGATGTTCTGCTGCATTGGGATACCAAGAAGTAACTTGAATAACAGTTCTGTCTGTGCTTTACCTGTCTCATTGGGAAACAGTCTTCCATTCTTAGGAATATTTCATGAGCCATGGTTTCATTTCCTCTAAAATATGTAACCCCCAATAGATCTTTTAGCAGCATTTGTTAGTCCCCAGTTAATCAGAATTGCAGGCAGTAGCAGCCATAGGCTTATTTGACTCAGAATGAAATAGTTTTCAACAGGAAATCTCTCTTGAAGGTCCAGGATTTGTTTACATCTTCTGCAAGACAACCACAGTAACAACCATCATACTATAACGGAAGCAAGCTCCTTTGGGCTCATACAAGCTGGAGGTCAAATAAACAACTTGCACTGGTACAATGAGGGCAGTGTTTTGTTCGTACAATAAATAAGTGCCTTTTCTTTCTCTTTAGACAATAAAGAATTGCCTGGTATGATGGACAAAACAAAAATGCAAACCAATATTTGACTCTGCCAAAAATGTAAAACTCGTTATTAAAGAAGCCTTTAGTAGTAACACAGTACAGGCCAGTAGAGATCCAGCTTCAAGTCCTAGCAAGGCTTCCAACATCAGATCAATGCCCTTGTTTTGTAGAAGGGAGTCATACGATCAGGACAGACTGGGAGACTAGACGAGTCTTGCTGAGGCCCTCCAGGTTTGGGAGAGCTGATACCTGTTTGGCTCAAAGCAAGCAGACAACATGAATTTAGCAAGCCAACACGATTGCCATCCTCACCATGGCATGCCTGACCACTGCCAGCACCACATGGGCTCTTGAACTTCCTGGTGGGAGCTGGCGATCTCCCAGAATTACAGCTGACCTCCAGACCCCATAAATTGCTTGCTTATTTATTTATTTAAACATTTATTCTCTTGGAGAAAATGGCTGCTTTGGAAGGTGGACTGCATGGTATTTGAGGGCTCCACCCTCAAATCGCCAGGTATTTCCAAGCCCGGAGTTCACAACCCTACCCAGCTTACTTCTGGCCATCCATGTTACCAGTCAGTCCCATCTCACAGAGAAGCAGTTGGTTCTCCAATAGGAAGTAATGCCATACACAATTCATGTAAAAATCACTCCTGATAGATTTAATTTCTATCTCCTAAGCCTGGCCTAGGACAAGGAATGAATGGCAGGCACAGCCCGTGAAAAAGTATCTTAAAGGAGGCTGGCTTGATAATAGTTGTCACCCATCCTAAAGTTATGTGTATTTTACAACATGGGGGTCTCTCGGGAAAACAGCATCACACCTTTTATTCATGCCTTCCATTTGCCCACTTAGCATATTTACAACATTTGGAAGTTCCTCTTCATTCTGCATATCAAGGGGCATCCACAGATATTATCGGCTCTGGGAAAGCAATCAAGCTCGGCCAAATCCTTTGATCTCCCTCTGGTACAGCTATTAACCATTTGTCCAGGTCTCACTATTGTTCTTTTGATGCAACCACATCAGCATACCCTCAGGTATCATTTTTGGGTATAAATATAGCCAAGCTACTCACAATTGTGTGTGTGTGTGTGTGTGTGTGTGTAACTCCATACCCAAGGTACTGGTCACCTTGCTCTTCAAAACACCTCTAACCTTCTGGACAGACCGGAATCTCTTCAAGACTGGTAGATATAAATCTATTTCCCCCATCTCACTCTATTATTCTTAGCCAACCTTGCGGTATATTTCTTGTATGTGTGTTTTGCCTTCTAGTAGTTTTCAATAAAACTCTGTTATTTAAACATCAGCCTGAAACATCAGTTCATTTGTGAGTTCTCTGGAAGAAGGATCTTGGTATACGAAGGTGGAATAGGTCCCAAGTTACCCAGCTCTCACTAAGAACTAAATTCTCCAATCAACCAATTAATTAATTAGGCCAGTTTGGGTAAAACCCATGGCTCTCGAAGAAGCTTCCCAGCAAAAGGCCAGCCTCCCCCTGCATAGGATACAACTTTCTGTATTTGATGTCATCACTTTTGTGATTGCATTTTGAAGCACAGAAAGCTTCTGCACATGGGGTTGGAAATTATTGTGTTGGAAGAGAGATTTATTTATTTACCTCGTCGGCCTTTCTCACTGACACTATCCGGTTCCTTAAGCAGAAGGATTCCTTCAACAAATGAAAGATTCCATCCCATAAGCAACAAATGAAAGATACCATCCCATAAGCAGAAGGGCACCTGTGGACTGAACTCCATGGATTGGATACAACAGATACAAGACTTTTTAGACCTTGAATGTATTGATTTAACCCATCTTTTGCATGTTTGCCAACTAGTAAATCCCACTGTATTCAGTGTGGCTTACTTTGCTAAGTAGAAAATTGCCAAGTAATAAATCCTACTTATTCAGTACGGCTTACTTGCAAACAAGTGTGCACAGGATTACACTCTTGGTCACTAAGACTATATGTAAACCTATGCAATTGCTTTATCACAACAATACTATAGTATATAGGGAGAAGAGTGGTAAAGAAAACTGCCATACATTTAATGATACCAAAGCTCACTAAAAGATAGAACACAGCAACTGAAAAAGAGTTATCACTTTTATTATTATAATAGGATCCTCTAGTCTAGTCTATTATCAGGAAATCACCATAATGCCCAAGTGTCTTGATTATTTTGTATGCATTTATATGTTCACTAGTTAGTCCAAGTCTGTCTGTTGCTTCAGTTCCAATGCAAAAAAAGATTGATTTTTTTTCTATCTGTAACATCAGGCTAGGTTAAATCAGGCTAGTGTTCATTTATCTACTGCAGTTATTTGTTTGTTATTGCATAATGAAACACCAGCGGTTACATTTTTGAAGTACATACTTAAATTACACATACTGGACAGAATGCAGCTAAAATTTGCCATTACTATATCCCACTAAAAGCAATGGGACTATTTAGTCACAACTAATTTGTACCATTGGTTCAAATGAGAGTTAGTCATGACTCACTTTAGTTGGATCAGACTCAAAAAGGAAATTTTGAACTTGATGTTATAAGGGGGGAAGAATTGTCCCAGTGGTTGGAGGGAAGTCTCAACATGCTGATCAGATTCTCTGCTTCAGTTCATGAATGCATCATGGACTCAAATTCATCGATTCTCTGTTTCGTGTTTCCTTTGCGGATCTTCCGATAGGATATCGTATTGTATCGAGAATAACTGTGCCGGGAAATATCGCTTTTTTTCATGGAGCTTGGCTGCTCCTTTGGTTTCTCCGTAGGAGAGTTACTCCTGGGATCGATGGGAAGACATTCTTCGCTGTTGGTTTCCTGCCATTTTTTATGAGACTCCCCATTATTTTCATTCTGCATGACTCCTTCTGCCCCTTCAGAATCTTCTGCCGTTGCATTCTCATTCACTTCTAGGTATGTTTCAGTTTCAATTTGCTCCTTGTGTTCGTGCAGCTGCGCTTCGTCTTGATCCTCCTTGGTCTCATTACTGCCGTAGGCCTTTTCCTCCCAAAGCTGCTGTGTGTCCCCTTCCTCCTGTTCAATTCCTTCATGTGCTTTGGCACTTATAGCATAGTTCTCCTCACAGAGACCTGTAACAAACAGTGTAGTGGTTAGGAGGCTGAGCTGTAAACGACAATATCTGTGCTTCAGATTTTGTCTCTTGTCACTTATATGGCCTTAAGAAAGCTACTATCCGCTCCCCTCTACCATATACAACATGGGGATAGCAATCTTCCTTACAGGGCTGATAACAGGATTACTGAGGTGATACAGGTGAGGTTCTGAAACCCTGTGTTAATGCTAGTATTGTTATTACCATAGAATGGTAAGATTTTGTCCATGTGTTTGTCTGGATATTTATTTATTTGTCATTCATACAAGACAAGATACTGCCTGAGAGCTTATCATAAGGGCCTCAAGATAAATCCAGACATTCACAGCAATGGATGGGATCTCTCTCTGTGTGCCAGACATTCACAGCAATGGATGGGATCTGTGTGTGTGTGCGTGTTCATTCCCACATGGCCATTTCTCTCCCACCCATCTCCTTATTTATTTATTTTTTAAATATACCTGGTCAGTGATCCAAGATTTTGAGTGATTATGAGGGTAGATGCTGGTGAGTTTTGGAGAGGGAAGGGGATAATTTATGACAATCTGGAGCATGCCAAATCTTGGCACAGACCCTGTGTGGTCTAGGGAGGCACAACTTCAAATCCGCACTTGCCACAGAACTTACTGGGTGACCTTGGGCCAGTCAATGTTACTCAGCCTGCCCAACTTCACATGGTTGTTATGTTATGATGACTACATGGAAGAGGGGAGTATTATGTACATCCCCTGAAGTATGGGTGAGATAAAAATGCATGAAATAAAATTAATATGTCTTGATGCCTCAGGCAGGCCGTGGCACATCAAGGTATGGGATCAGCTATAACCATGGGTTAACTATATCACCAGCCACAAAGTACTTGGTTTATGCCAAAACCAAACTCGAGGTAATAAAACTGAATGGGCAGGTAATCTGTTTTGTCCATCCATTCACATTATGAACTTGCTATGGGTCATGAGCCAAGGGAAAGATACAGTGTTTTGTTGTTGTTGTTGTTGGGAATGAACTACTAAACACTAACATCAAGCCACAATCACCACCAGCAATACTACATGGAAAACAGTTGCATGGCAAACCTTTTCCTGTACTTCGTTCAGGCTATGGACTTCCATCCTGATTACCAGAGTCGCTCCCTATTTTCTGGTAAAGGTAGAGGTTCCCTTGCTCGAAAGCCAGTCGAATCCGACTCTAGGGTTGCGGTGCTCGTCTCCGTTTCAAAGCCGAAGAGCCAGCGCTGTCTGAAGACATTTCCGTGGTCATGTGGCCGGCATGACTAAACACCAAGGTGCACGGAACACTGTTACCTTCCCACCGAAGTGGTACCT